CCTGCACGCTAACACGTCTCTGTGCTGATTGGCCGGCAGGTGTCAGATCTGTTTCTGCGACTACAGCGACGGCGAGAAGCTGAGGATTCTGCCCTGTTTCCATGACTACCACGTCCAGTGTATCGACCGATGGCTGAAGGTACTCCGGGGGATGCGCCGTTCGCGCTCCGCTGTTTTTAGAGCCCCTCCTTAAACGCCGTCTCCTCACCTGTGTCTCCCCTCCTCCTCAGGATAACACCACCTGTCCCATCTGCAGAGCCAACCTGGCTGACGGAAACGCCCCCCCGACCTCTGACCTCTGACCTCGTTTCTACAGTTTTCTATCGGAGCAGACGGGTTCGTGTCTCCTGAAGGACGCCTCAGACTTCTGTTTTTTAGTTTTTTATATTTTTATTTAAAGCTTTGTCGGTGCTCATGTGACCACAGGAATAAAACAATAAAACCTCGCAGCAAGTCGCATTTTCATTTAGTGACGAGCAACCCGTGCATTTCTTAATATTTAATCTTTTTATGTCTTAATTGTGTTTGTTTTATTTTTTTAAGCCTTTAAGATAGTTTAACATAATTTTGACTTTTTGTAAAATATTAATATTTTCTGTAAAATAATTTTTAATTTCTCCTCTGAACAAAACTCAGAAAAGCTGCGACATGTTGCAGCAACAGCGTCAAACTGTTTTGTTTAGTCTGCTTTGTGTTGATGTGTCTGTTCCTTTAAATAATACAAACTATGTTATTTAGATCATATATTTAATTCAGTTCTATTTTATTTACAAATCATGACAACAGTGCCTCGTGGTGCTTTGTGTTTTATGGTAAAGACCCTAAAATAACACCCCAACAATCAGATGACCCCCTGTGACCACTTTGGTGACTGTGGGAACGAAAAACTCCTTTTTAACAGGAAGAATCAGAAGGCTCAAAGTTGTGAGTCGTGACGCCTTTCCTCTCCACCGGACCAAAAACGTGAATTTTAACCTCACAGGAAACGAGCCGCTGTCTCCTTTTCTACTGTGGGTTTGTGTTTTCTGTGACTTTGGCTTCTCGGTGGGTTAGTTTGGGTCAGCAGTGTTGGATCAGTGTGGAGCTGATAATAAAAAATACATGTGAAACTTTATTATCTATTACGGTTACAGTAGACGCAACAAACCCAGCCTGAGCCAGTCTAGACCTCAAACACAGATAGATCCTTTAACTTCTGTCAGTCTCATCAGGTGTGTGGACGTCAGTGATGGTGAGTTCAGGTGAGTTTTAATTGTGTTGGTGAAATAAACTCTTCTCTCATTAAACGTCAGAGCCGCTCAGATCTAATTAAAGAGTGGGCGGGGCTTGTCACACGTCACGTATATGTATAGAGTTGGAGCTTCCCTTCCACGCAGCGTGTGCCTCTAGTATCAAATGCAGACCTCCAGTCAAGGTAGGTGCTCTGAGCTCTCCTCTGTTGTTATTATGGTTATTATAGTAACTATAGTTTAAACTAGCAGCTTTCATGTGAGTTCATATGAAATCATATTTCTTATGATTTCACCGCTGCGTCATGAATTATTGTTATGGTTATTAGGGCGACGTGGCTCAGGGGCTCGGGGAGCGCATCTGTCACCGGAAGGTCGCCGGTTCGATCCCTGGGCTCTCTGTCCTGGTCGTTATAAAGCGCTTTGGGTGCCTTGAAAAGCGCTATATAAATCCATTATTATTATTATAGTTTAAACTAGCAGCTTTCATTTTCATTCTTATGATTTCACGCTGCGTCATGAATCAGCTTAAATCACAAACTTTTACTTTCACTTCCTCGGCAGCCGGATCATCCGGATCCTTTCCCCCTTCAGCTTTTTATGAAAGCGCTAGAAATCAGAAATCAGGGAGGAAAGTGTCGCTGGCCGAGAAAGGATTCGCACCCACAGAGTCAGACTTTACAGGAAACTCCCCCAAACCACCCGGAAATATCCCCTCTGACACTTGGCACAGTGTTTCCTCCTGATCGGAGCTTCATCCTGCAGTTACACTTCTCTGAGAGACGCTCGGTTTGGGGCCGATAGACACACCCCTGCGCCACCGGAACATCCAAACACCGTCAGCCCAGGGGCGTGTCCGGGGACAGGAGTGCATGGGGTGGCACCCTCCCCGATCACCACCACCAGGAACATTTACTCGAGTTCTTCACTGAAGTACATGTTACTGTACTGAATCCAAGTATTCAGATGTTACATTTCCGACACTTTATTTTCAGTTTTCTCATTGATTCGCTGATTAACTGCATCATTGTAACTGGGTCATAAATTACATATTGTTATAATTACACAAAATGTGTTCTAGACCCCAAACCGTTCCAGTTATATCTGACTTTTAGGACCTTCAAGCCTGTAGTTCATTATCAGGAACCCCCCCCCCCCTCCTTCTTCTTCTTTGGTGCAACCCTATAAGTACACAGTACCAGTGGTAAGAGGTTGGTGTCATTTCTTTCCATGTGTGTTACAGGCACAGTCAATGCTAGCATGGATAGATAATTCCTGCTAGCTTGGAAGTTGTGTTGGGTTGAGTTAACCCTCTGTTTGCATTTGGTTGTAGAAGCTGGAGCGAGCAAGTTAATGACTTGGAGCTCTTTCTTTTACCTTTTAATGTCAGACACAACGCAGGAACACACCGGTGACAGTAGCTCGAGCCCCATGGCAATATACGAGCAATTAGCTGCTGCAACATCAGTAATCAGTCATTATAATCCAATAATATCCGTAGTGCCTAATAAATGATTGAACAACCTGTAAAACAAGGAAACACAAATATTTTAGAAATCTGACAAAACTGTTTCAAAATAAACCATCATATGTTCATTTAACACCAGACTGTTCAGTAAATTATTAAATAATATTTTTTCATATTTTTATGTAAAACTGTAAATGTTAGAACAGAATAGCCATTTATTGTTAATGTACATGTATAAATAAAATATATATAACAGAAAGCAGGACTAATGAGCAACCAGGAAATCTGCTCACCTGCACAGAGAGCTGCAGGTGAGCAGATTTCCAGGTGAGGGAGAATCTGCTGTTTTTATCAAAACCTGCATTTGTAATCAGTGACGGTTTTCTGATGAGTCGTTTCTCCTGCAGCTGTACTGGAGCAGTTAATCATCATCATCAGTGACGATGAGGAGGTCACAGCAGGTGGAGGAAGACGAGGCGCTGGCCCGACGCCTGCAGCTAGAAGCCGACTCAGAATTTGGTAAATGTCA